AAGATCATAACAAACAACAAAGATCATAACAAACAACAAAGACCATAACAACCAACAAAGATCATAACAACCAACAGAGATCACAACAAACAACAAAGATCACAAGAAACAACAAAGATCATAACAAACAACAAAGATCATAACAAACAACAAAGACCATAACAACCAACAAAGATCATAACAACCAACAAAGATCATAACAAACAACAAAGATCATAACAAATAACACAGATCATAACAACCAACAAAGATCATAACAACCAACAAAGATCACAACAAACAACAAAGATCACAACAAACAACAAAGATCATAACAAACAACAAAGATCATAACAACCAACAAAGATCACAACAAACAACAAAGATCATAACAAATAACAAAGATCATAACAACCAACAAAGATCATAACAACCAACAAAGATCACAACAAACAACAAAGATCATAACAAACAACAAAGATCATAAATTTCAACTAATATCATAGTATTTAACAAAGAGTTCCGATAGCAGGAATTGGAAAGATCTAGCAATTCTACCAAATTTTTTGCAAGTGAAATTAAAGACAAAATAAGCTGAAAGCAGCCATTTTCTAACTACTCGTGGCGTTATTCTTGGAGTCAGTTTATATCCTTTGGACGTTCTAGGGATATTATGTAGGACTATCCCCCAGTGGCACAGCGCCATGTCTGCGGACGTACAACGCTAGAATCCGAGTTTCGATACCCATGGTGGGCAGAACATAGATAGTCCATTATGTAGCTTTGTGCTTAATTACAAACAAATCTTCGGACGTTCTAGAGATATCATGTAGAACTATCTTAAAAATGAGTACCCCAGTGGCACATCGGCATGTCTGCGGACTTACAACGCTAGAATCCGAGTTTCGATACCCATGGTGAGCAGAGCATAGTCCATTGTGTAGCTTTGTGCCTAATTACAAACAAATCTTAAAAATGAACTTCAGTAAATTTTTAATTTTTAAACTTCTCGGATTTAATAGAGATAATAAGTTTCTAAACGCGTTACATTCTTTTAAACGTGAGAAACGTTGTTTTAATACCGAGTAAAAGGCAAGCAATTTACCTCAACTAAAATACCTAGACAGAAAATATGAATACCCTCTTAGCTAGCTAAGAACTCATGAAAGATTATCTGATCTAATCCAACAATTGGATTTTAACATCCACTATTAATTTGTGTTAGCCCTGAATTGGTGAAGGATTATCTGATCTAATCTAATAATTGGTTGTTAACATCTACTACTAGGCTTGTGTTGGAGAAGGATTATCTGATATAATCCAACAATTGTTTGTTAACATCTACTACTAGGCTTGTGTTGGAGAAGGATTATCTGATATAATCAACAATTGGTTGTTAACATCTACTACTAAGCTTGTGTTAGCCCTGAACTGGTGAAGGATTATCTGATCTAATCTAATAATTGGTTGTTAACATCTACTACTAGGCTTGTGTTAGCTCTGAACTGGTGAAGGATTATCTGATCTAATCTAATAATTGGTTGTTAACATCTACTACTAATCCTATGTTAACCCTAAACTGGTGAACGATTGTCTGATATAATTTGTTTTTTTTGTTTTTTTTGAATTTCGCGCAAAGCTACACGAGGGCTATCTGCGCTAGCCGTCCTTAATTTAGCCGTGTAA